ATAAAATATATTTTAATTTATAAAGGCAGTCAAAATCAATGATAAAAATGCAAACCATTTGAGTTGTTACTTTTTTCAGCATATACGATTTGTTAGGAGTCAGAACAAAGCCCGTTAAAAAGCCCGCATCCTATCATGACGTAAATAACTTCAGAATAGGCTACAAGATAATTAGCATCACAACTTGAGTTAATGAGTCTTACAACATAACTCAACGTCGATTAGCGAAAGAGTATAAATCTTTCGCATATATCCGCATGTCGCACGAATTCTTGCGCGTACTGTTATTACTAAGCCTAACCATACGACGACATTATCGTAATAATAATCCTCGTTTCCCCGGACTTTAGCACAAGGCTACGAATACTACAGGGGGTTGTTCTTTTCTCCCGTTACAGTTGAAATTCCCCTCAAGCGTGTCCGTAGAGGGCAGCGTACGTCATTTTCTTAGTAGCATCTATGTACCGGGGCTTAAAGCAGGGAACTTTGGCTTGTTAATCATTGCATGCATACTAGAAGTAACACTATATTTGATACGAATATAAAAATAAGAACTTTTTCTATGGCCTCTACCGTTCATACATAACTTACTTCTTCTCGGCACGTAGGATGTGAACCCTGATGAATTGTACAAGACTGCAAAGACTGCCTGCCAGACTGCCGACGTCACCCAAATGTTTGCCCCTGCTGAGCGTCTAAGGGCGGATACAAAACTGATTGGGAAATCGGCAGTCTCGCTGTTCGCCGAAGACTATCAATCACTCGTTTACTGTCAGAAGGAGGATCCCCCTCGTCAGCAAGCCACCAACCTTGCCGTCAACAGCAGCCTCTGCATGTCAAAATCTCGCCGAACCTCCGCTGTGTCTCAGAAGGACGTTGCAGAACCAGTCAACCTCTTCCGGCAACAGCATCGACACCTGCTTCAGTGTCTGCAAGCAGTAACGGTGCGTTTTGCAGACTAAAGTTCATTTACATTAGAGCATACTGAAAAAAAAACTCAGAGTTGCGCTATCCTTTTCCTCTTTTTATTTATTATTCCCGTCCATTGGCCTCTCTTGTGGGAATTCAAATGTGCATTAATAGCAGCATACTGGCACGCTTGAGGCACATAAAGCGAGTCATCTTTATAATTTGGATACTCTGCTAAAACAGTAAAAACAGCATTGTTTGGCATTCTCTTTAGAAAAAAAGGAAGGAAAATGCCCTGCTGCCATCGCAATGCGCTGGTTTAGGTAAAAAACACCACAGATTAGGATAGGGCTTTCGGAAAAACGCAAAAAGCACGTACACACACCGTACTCCCCTCTTACTTGTATGCGACTGACCTGAAAAGGTCGTTCTGGTTGGCATAAATAAGCACTTTCACGCTTTCAAGTCGGCCTTCAGTGAAACAGGGCGATTATGGAGATGGGGCCGGCGTGCGTGCGCGTGCGTGCGTGCGTGCGTTTCGGGCTAGTTTCTACTTAGCTCCGTTTTGTTTGAGGGCAGATCTGTGCGCTGTGGAGTGTGGTGTACACGCGTGCCCGCTTACCTGCTTGCCTGCGTGCGTTTGTAAGGGGGGGAATAGAATATGTCTTTTGGAAACTCCACGCAGGGGTAGATATATGCACACCCGGCCGTGCAAGGTATGAGGCAAATTGATTAAAATGTTATTTTTGCTGCAGGTTAACGCACCCCGAATCGGGTAATTGCGTACAAAATGAGGCAAAGCTGTCACCTCCAGGCGCGTATACAAGTAAATTCCAGAAAAGTATAAATACTGACAGTGACACGCAACACTGAAAAAAAACACATCGGAATATTGTGAGCTGGTATACATAGAGAGAGCGTAAAACATATACACACGCTAGCTTGTTTGCTTCAAATGTTTTAAAGCCGGTCTGGTTTGACAGAGGCTGCTCACTTTTTTAAATGCATAAGCAATACTGTTGTCTCCGTATCTTATCGGCAACGTACGTATTTTCGAAAAAGGGAGGAAGTTAATCTGCAGAGAAGTCAGAGTCGTTATGCAATGTGAGATTGCACAATATCGGGAAAATGTGACTGAATAACAGGAGAACATTTTCAGAATTTTTTAACAGAGCCTGAAAATATAAGAAGCGGAAACGTAAACGCTCGAGGTTCGTTCAAAGTATACATGAAGAGTGGTTCCTCTGATATGGGTGTCTTAAATCGACATTTTACGTATATTTTTTGATTCAACTTGCGTGGGTTAATTAAGTTATCCGATTTGTTTTTTTAAAGCGCAAGTTCCTTAAGTGGCACACCGAAACGAATGAATAGAAGCAAAGTGCCATTTAGTACTTCTGTTAAAATCACTACAAAACCATAACCGTGAGCTTCGTTTTATTCTGAACAGGGTTTGCATTCTATTATATCCATTCGAAACACATAAATTACATGCACGAATTACAAGACACGTCCAAAACTGGAAATCACCCAATGAAATGTAACCTCTATTTTTGGCTGGCGATATTATTGAATAGAAAGTTAGTCAGTTGAAAAGGGACTGCAACACAAAAAACGGTCCGCACATTCTAAAAGTACGAAATCGATCCACTCAAATACGTTTTTTTTGTGTTATTTTGTTTGCGCACACATTGTGTCAAACGACTGACACAGCGTTCGGAAAAATCGTAGATTCTAAAAAAAACAATATGATGAAAATTTTATATTGCAGTGTTTCTCTACAGCATTAACTGCTAATGTAAACGCTCAACATAGACAGCTAGGTTTGAAAAGTCGTATTGGGAAACAATTGTTTTCGGTCATTCCTCTTTACCCAGTACAATGACATGGAGCATGAAACCACTGCAAAAACCTGACAGCTTTTTCTCCATATCATCGTACTGGCCCGAAGATGAATGACTAAAAACAATTGTTTGCCAATGTGACTTCTCAATCGCAGAAAGTGGAATGTTTGCAGAATAGACAGCTAGGTTTGAAAATAACTGTTGAATTGACGTTTGTCTAATTCTGGCGCACTACAGAAACCTGTTAAGGTAATAACTATCAAGTAAAAGAACAAACTGCTAGGTTGTTCATGTTCGGAAGAAGCATTGTTTTTTCAGGCATTGCAAATGAAAAATGCAAAATTAAAACTAGGAGTCCGCAGAGATTAGTATTAAAATAGAAACAGAGTAAAAGCAGAGCAATGCAAGTCGAAGGTTGAAACTTATCGCTGCTTAAATTTCAGGCAAGAACGATGAGAAAGTAGGTCTGGTGGCGTTCAAGGAAGAAATTAGAGAATTGGAATTAAAACCACCTTAAACAGAGCATCCCAATATATCGCAAAATTAACAGATACAGTAATTTCCTTAAACACCGGGTCTGAAATTGCGGCAGTGAGGCCTTCACCCGTGGACAAACAATACAGTACGGACTATAATTCGTGCAACATGCCAACATATGCGAAAGATTGATACTTTTTCACCAATCGACATTTAGGAAGTTTGTAATACTGAATATTGTGTGGTCTATTCTGAAGTCATTTTGATCATGATGTGATGTCGACTGTTTAACGAGCATCCTTCTGGCCGCTAAAAAAATGCATGTACTGTAAAAAGTGGCTGCAAAGTAGTATGTATTTTTATAATTCGAATATGTTTACTGGAAAGCATATATGAAAATAATATTAGTTATTCTGATTTGGCAGAAAATTTCGCCTTATTTAAATGCAATACTTGATTGCTTGATTTAATAAGATTGCTAGGCATTAATTCATTCTATATCACTTCCGACAATTTAATAATGCTCATTATAATTTATACAGTATGTTCCACACCTCTTGCAATATTTTATGAGAACTATGTGATTTCTTAAGCAAACCATAAGTGGAAGCGTACTTTACACTAAACAGGATGTGCACAGCGTGCAGTTTGTAAACCGCGAATTCAAGTGTAGCAGTCAGTAGTTTTAAAAATTATTGCGCAATAAAGAAGCAGTTTTTAAACCGAAAGATATCCTCTCTTTAAGTACAAAATTTAACGAGAGCGCAACTTACTACCAAACGAGTACAAGAAATATTTTACATAAAACGAATGTGAATTTATAAAGGCAGTCAAAATCAATGATAAAAATGCATATTTTTAAGCAGTTACTTTTTACAGTACATGCGTTTTGTTAGCGGTCAGCTGGAAGCTCGTTCAAAAGCCGGCATTTTATCGTGACTGAAATAACTTCAGAATAAACTACACAATAATTAGTATTACAATCTTACTCAGTGCCAATCGGCGAAAGAGTATCAATCTTACGCATATGTTGGCATGTTACACGAATTCTAGGCCGCATTGCATTAGTATCGCGGCACACAATAATCTCCGCGATGAATATACTAAAGACGTATTTGATAAAATATGAGATTGCATAGGATTTGCGCCCTGCAAGTGCCGCCCCCTTTATAAGTTCGAATACATTGATCCGCTGTTTTTTTATAATATTGACTGAAAAGAATACTTGCCGCAGCAGTCAACTCTTTACCAAAGTCTATGTATGCGCGGTCTCATAATCAATGTTCGGTTTATCCAAAATCAAATCAATTTATTTAGACTTTCCAAAGTCTCCTTCGGTCCTGATCTAGTGCTTGTATCGGGGAAGAGACGTATCCGTTAATGTAATAGATCTTCACTGAACACAAGTAATCACATAACGGTAACCGCTAGTAGTTAGGACCATTTCGAGAAACTGTCCCAGCGTGCCATTTTTTTCAAAACTCTACCGCTGGCGTTCAGCTCTGAAATTCCAACTGTACTAGGAAAGATTGATCTAGCACAAGCGCCCGATACACGTTTCACTGGGACCCTCAACAAAATTCTCCACAAAATACTGGTTATTCATGCTTCTGCAAAAGCTATAGAATATCTTAAAAATAACTACCTACAGTAGCCGCCGAAGACCATGCAACGCTAATTATAAAATTTGCCTGGACA